ACATTAGCAAAAAGCATTCATTATCTGTCTTCATTTAATAGTGATTTTTTTGTTTACAACATAAACAATAAGACTTCCTGATATACAACCCTAATGCCAACACATTTAATCAAACTATTTTGTTTTTATATGTACAGTAAAATCAAATAAGATTATAATCTGTTAGATTTCAGTGTTGTATAGGTCACCAGTTATTTAAATGTACATTCAATGGCTTATAAGTAAAACAAAACAGATTTTATTATACTGTTACGTTTAGTGCAACGTTTCTCCTAATTATTTGTCAAAACAAATTAAATTAATGGTTTATGCTGGGAAAGTAATATTATTTTGATAAAGACAAGACGAGTGACTGATAAACTAACTTTATGTGTATTTTTAACAGACAGTTCGGGTTACTAATGAACGAAATGACAGTGAGAACATTTAAATTAGGTGTTCAAATTATTGAAAAGAGGACTTTAACGTTATCTCCGTAATAGGGTTTATCATTCCAAGTCAATAACGGCGAAACAATATGTTATAGCTGATGCTTTTATCACATAGATAAAGGGATGCATCGGAAAGCACACTTCCATTCATTTCCTTTTAGCAACTATGGTTAGTCGTATGATCGAAACATAAACAAGGCTGCAAACACAACATAGTGTGTCCAAATGATATTGTAGTCCTGATATATTTAAACCAGAGACTATAAATACAAAAAACAACGCATATTTAGTCTTCCATTGAGCTGAGCGTTAGCGCATCTAGCTAACTGTAAGCCTAGCTAATGCTAGTGCGAGACGCATCAACTTGTTCTAAAGTTTAGCTCCATTTCAATCAAAAGCTTTTACTTACCGCCTCCATACACTCCACCACTCATTGTGCAAAGTGTCTTAACGAACGATATTTCAAAATCGAAGCTACTGGACTAGAAATAAATCCTTCAATGTTCAATCACAACAAAAGCTATCTGCTAGCATGTAGCATCGATCGCTCTGACAAAGCAGGCGCCACTGTGCGTCGGACCAGCCGTCCAATCAGAATTCAGCACAACCGTGGTGCTTCCGTTAAGAGACTGTGAGTACTTCCCTGTTCTGGAGTGGACGTGGCCTAGTCGACTTCATATCAACGTGAGTAAAAAGCTAATAACAAACAACATTAACTTGATTTTTAGGGAATAAGTCGATGTGCAAATGTTTCATGTGCAGGACTTGTGGCAATACAGCGAAGTTAGAGTTTGTTAACCTGGAGACCTTTGAGTCCACGCTATACTATGAACTCGCCTCATGGCGCATAAGCATCAAGTCAACAACACACGTTGGAGTGTAAGACGCACAAATTGCAGCGTTATCTTGCAGTTAAAGGTTGCAGTTAAGAGGTAACTCCTTCACTTGTTCAATAGCATAAATGTCTTCGTGTCAAAGACTACATTTGTTGTAGTCTTGGTACATGTTGGATTAGGTTGAGTAATTAACCATAAAAAAACAGGTACGGTTCTATAACCCCGTAAGAGGTTTCTGACAAAGAAAGAGGAATTTTGCAAATATGATCATGCAAACTCTTAAATAAAAATATTTAAAACTACCATGTTCTAAAAAAATGTGTCACTTTGCTGCACAAGTGACAAGTGGTATAAAAGTAGTAAAATTAATTACATTACATTAATTTTAATGTACTTTTAAACCAGCATAGCATCTTTAGACATATGATATAAGTGGAAAATATACTGACAATATACAAACATTATTGCACTTGAGTCTTAGGAAAGTCTGGTTTCCAATGGAAGTTAGATCTGCACAATTTACTGCACAGCAGTAACATTGTATCTGCAGAGAAAGTGTGTAATTTTAGTGGATTTCTCATCCTTTGCTTTCCAATAATATTCGGCTTGTTTGATGGATTTTTACTGTCATTTATTCACCTGATCTAGATTTTGGTGACTGATATTTTAATGCTTAACAAGATTTGTGAGATTGTTGTAATCATGGAAAAAGAGTTTTAAAATAAAATGTTGCTACTTGTAATTTTATTGTGACATGGCAAACATTGTCTGATGCTTTTTTAAAAAATATGTATACATTTTAACCTTAACTTTCAATTTTAGGATTTCAGAGGCATAGGTTTTCTTTTGGATGTTGTGAGTTAAATCATAACCTTATACATTGATTGTTTTCATAGATGATTTACTTCTGAATGCCATCTGACATGTTAAATTAATTTTTAACTCTGATCTTGTTTTCAGCATCCATGCAGCGCTGCTTCACTCTGACCCTTGCCCGGCACAGCAGGCTACTTTTAAGAAATAAATTTGCATCTGTTCGCTGCCACCAGTCAGCAGCCATGTCGAGTCTCCTCATCAACCAACCCCAATATTCGTGGCTAAAGGAGCTGGGTTTGTCTGAGGACAACCTGGGTGTTTATAATGGGAGCTGGGGAGGCAGCGGGGAAGTGGTCACGTCCTACTGCCCTGCCAACAATGAGCCTATAGCCAGAGTTACTCAGGCTACTATGGCAGAGTATGAAGCAACTGTTCAGAAGGCGAGGGAGGCCTGGAAGGTGTGGGCAGATATTCCTGCTCCAAAAAGAGGGGAGATTGTCAGACAGATAGGGGATGCATTAAGAAAGAAAATCACAACTCTTGGAAGTTTAGTTTCTCTGGAGATGGGTAAGATCTTTGTTGAAGGAGTGGGAGAAGTTCAAGAGTACGTTGACGTCTGTGATTACGCTGTCGGTCTGTCAAGAATGATCGGTGGGCCCATCCTTCCCTCTGAAAGACCCGGACATGCTCTTCTGGAGCAGTGGAACCCTGTCGGGCTCGTCGGCATAATCACCGCCTTTAACTTCCCTGTGGCTGTTTACGGCTGGAACAATGCTATTGCGATGACCTGTGGCAACGTCTGCCTTTGGAAAGGTGCCCCAACCACCCCTCTCACCAGTGTCGCAGTTACCAAAATAGTGGCTGAGGTGCTAGAACAAAACAATCTGCCTGGAGCCATCTGCTCATTGACCTGTGGTGGCGCAGATATTGGTACTGCCATGGCAAAGGATGAACATGTGGATCTCCTGTCGTTCACTGGCAGTACCCACGTTGGCAAGCTTGTGGCCATGATGGTGCAGGAAAGGTTTGGACGCAAGCTGTTGGAGCTCGGTGGGAACAACGCCATTATTGTGTTTGAGGATGCAGACCTGAACCTTGTGGTTCCCTCTGCGGTCTTTGCTTCTGTAGGAACTGCTGGCCAACGTTGCACCACAACCAGGAGGCTGATGCTCCATGAGAGCATCCATGACACGGTGGTTGAGAGGATATCTAAGGCCTACAAACAAGTTCGGATTGGAGACCCTTGGGACCCAAAAACTCTCTATGGCCCTCTGCATACCAAACAAGCTGTGGAGCAGTATCTGGCTGCCATTGAGCAGGCCAAGCAGCAGGGGGGTACCGTTGTTTGTGGTGGAAAAGTGATGGATCGTCCTGGAAACTATGTGGAACCCACTATCATTACAGGTCTGCCTCATGACTCACCCATTGTCCACACCGAAACCTTCGTCCCCATCTTGTATGTCCTGAAGTTCAAGACGGAAGAAGAGGCATTTGCCTGGAACAACGAGGTCAAGCAGGGTCTGTCGAGCAGCATCTTCACCAAAGATATGGGCAGAGTTTTCCGCTGGATGGGTCCCAAAGGGTCTGACTGTGGCATTGTGAACGTCAACATTCCCACAAGCGGAGCCGAGATCGGAGGAGCGTTTGGTGGTGAGAAGCACACTGGTGGTGGAAGAGAATCAGGCAGTGATTCCTGGAAGCAGTACATGAGGCGCTCAACGTGCACAATAAACTACAGCAAGGATCTTCCTCTGGCTCAGGGCATCAAGTTTGAGTGAAGCCGTCAAGTTAATTTTAGTAACACTAAATTTATGTCGTTTTCACGGTAACTACTGTGAAACAATTGTCTTTGAATTTAGAAAAGTCTGTGTACATTAACTAAAACTTAAGAATAATTTTAGAGCAGTATTTAGCTGTGAATTATGATATAAATTTTGATAATTTGTCAGTTAAAGGTCAAACGCTGTTCTCAGAAAGTGTTCATGTGCACTTTTTCTACAAGCACTTAAATGTCACCCTGGTAACTGAATGACTGTATCAGATTCTTTATACTGTAAACAAAAAAACTGAAAAATCAACTATTATGGAAGAATAATGTCTGGACCTTAAAGAGCTTGTGATTGGTTAATGAACGTAGTGAACAAAAAACTTGCTGTTTGGTCTATGTACAATATACGATGCATTAAAAAAAGCTATTGAAAAAAACCTTAATAAAAAAAGTTTGGGATGTAAATGTGGTTTCTGTGCTTCTTTTAAGTTTTAAAATGACATCAAACTAAAAACTAGCATTGGCGTGGCCTTGTTTAACTATGCTTCAATTTATTTCTTAGTATTAAGTGTCATTCAGTAGTGAAACTTGCATCTGTTGAAGTCTTATTATAGTAGAGAGGAAATAATTTGCTTTATATTGAAATTAGGTTTACAGTTTAAACCTTTGTTCTACAATTACCTGCAAAATTGCCCCAAAAACCTCTCTTTAAGGAACACTTTGCTGCAAACCATAGACATTTTAGACTCTGCTTTTTTTCTGAGGTTGGTTAGCAGAAATATAGTCTTTCCTTTATTATTTTTACCCCATAAATAGATTTTTAACACACTCCTAAAGGTACTACATGTTCAGAATACAAGTAGTACTTGCATCCTGAGCAAGGTCCTACTTGGTGCTTCTCTCCACCTGAGGTGCAGGAGAGAAGTACATTTACAATGTACTTTTTAAATTCCCATTTAGGTGGCATATTACAATGTGACACCTGTTGCAGCCAAAGATGTGTACTACCAGAGGCAAACCAAGTTAAAATCTGTCTTGTGTCCCAATGGGAAATCTGCAATGCAGACTGAAACGGGACCAATATCAGTCACAGTTATTGACTGATTTCAATAATCAAATCAAAAGGAAATAATTTACATATAGCTGGTCTATATGTAAACCTTTATAGCTGACATAAAGGTGAAATTCAGTTCAAAGTACATTCAATGATTTTGCTTTGGCTTATAGCATTTGGTACATTTTGCTTGTGATCATGAACGTTTTGTAATCTTGAAGATAAAAAATCATAATGTTAATTTAGCAAGTTGGCTGTACTAAGTTTTTAGAAGAAATATATTTAAGTCTGTATTTGTGAGGTAATATTACATAGAACTGATGAAATCAGCTCTGTCTCTTTAATAAAAATACTACTCCAGCTCCACTCCCTCATGCCCCACTTCCCACCCCCAGTTTGCTCACCCTCCCACTCAGCTGCTCTCCACTCATACTCCAGCTCTGCTTTTACTCTCCATTTATTTATGACCTCTCCCAGCAGCATCCACTCCACTCACAGCTGAAAAGAAGAAGCGAAACCACAGCACTGTGTGCGACTCACAGTCCATGTCATTCAGGACATATGCAGTCCACTTCCTCTGCGTCTCATCTTCTCTGCAAAAAGGTAGAAAAGCCTCAACTATTTTTGAAATATCTTGGTTTTCTTTTCTGCACAGTAGCAGTGTGAATGACATTTTAGTCATCTCGTCTGTACTGCCACAGCTTCGAAAAATACATTTTTCTAAAATATGCTGTCGTAAAACCATTGAATTAAAACTGAGACGTGTTGAGCTTAAACAATTGCCAATATGAGCTCTAGTTGTTATAGGAAAGATTGTCCAATTACTTGATTTATCTGGTGTGAAGGCTTGTGTTTGGCTTTCAGGTAGTTAAGAGGTAATACGCTGATTTTATCCCATGTCCACAACCTGTGGTGCACCAAAATGTCAAGCAAAAATAATTATGAGTTCATGGTAATAAATTAATGATCATCTCATAGTGGTGCAGCAGTGATGGGAGGCATTTGAAAATGGTGGCATTAGCACACCAGGGTTGTTCCTCACTTCCTCTAATTTTTCCCCCTCTGTGCGCAAGTTGTAAAATTCACTTTTTTGGAAACAGACCCTCTTATGCTTTGTGTTGGCTGTTGACCTGTGATTTTTACAGAAGCATCTGGGATTCCCCTTGCATGAAATAATCTCACTTCTTCACTTTGTTCATTTCCTCTGCAGCTTCTTGTACAAAAAAAAAAAAATTCCATCTTCGCTTCACTGACTCCTTCCAAGTTGTAACATGAGGCATTTTAGAAGAAACACTGGGAAGTTGTAATGGATTTTATTTGTGAAAAAATATTTTTCCTGTGTGTTAAAAAAAAAGTCTTAATCACAAGGGCTAATTTTCTTTCACACATACACTCAAGCTTCATCAACTTGAGGCCTAAAAGTACTTGAAAAAAGCTGACTTTATTTGTGAAACAAGGAGGTTTGCTTCTATGACCCTCCCATACACAATCAAATTATAGAAGAACTAAACCTATAGTCTTCGTAGAATAATTCGTACTTTATTTTGTTTTTTAATTTATTCAACCAATCTCCCTTCAAGAGTCTCAATTTGGACAGAGAAAGCACA